AAAGAAAAAAAAAACAGTTTGTGACAACAATAAATACGAACGCAAAAAGGGATGGGATTTTCAAATCTTTTAAAATTAACATAAAAAGATATAAATAACTATAAAGAGTATATAGGCATTTGTTCAGGCATGAGGCCCATCAGCGACCACTAAGGAAATTAGTCGAAGTATGTGTGACCTTAAAAGACTAAGGCAATGAGTTGCATTCCGGAAAAGAATGGGATTTTTAGCAAAATAAGAATGGATAAAAACACTTATAATCCAGCCCCCCTAGCATGAGCATGGCGACGATATGATATGTAACACGTTTGTTATCACGCTCAATTGTGAAATTACTATGAAGTTTCACAGTTAGGCGCGATAAAAAACTTGATATAATATCAATTGTGATGCTCATGCTACGACTATGCATGGGACTGGAAATGAAGCCAAAAAAAATGGTAAAACCTCGCAATTTTTTCGTCCAGCACCGATTTGTACAAAAAATTGGGATTAGGCTTATTTCACCCTCTAGTTCATTTTCTATATTGTGCCGTTGTACGCTTTTTGTTTCTTAGGGGTGAAAAGTACTCCATATTATCAAAAATTATCAAATAAAATTGAAAACCTAAATATGGGTAAATAGTTAAAAAATGATTGTTTCATGCCTTAGGACACAATTTCATAATCTTTCAACCTACTCTTGTTAAAAACTACCCTTAAAAGCATTGAAATTTATTTAAAAAAAATATCGATTTTTTAAGCATAGCTCCTTCATTTTAGGTGATAGAGGTGTTAAACAGCTATATCTCGCCGAATATTCACTGTACAAAAAATATGCACACAGGGACATTAAAAAAGCTACAATTTAGTACTTTGTCGTATTTTTCGGAAATTTTAAGAAAATGGTGAAAAACACGAAATTGAAAATAAAACCGTTTTTCTCCTTAAACTCCAATTTTTCTTAAATTTGGCACTTTAAATTGGTCAAACTTCGTGGGTGTATTAATAGTACATATATAATAAGAATTACAGAAGGGTGGCGATCAATTTTAACTAGGGGGTATTTTAGGGGTTGTTTTCACAGAATTTTTTCGTAGAAAAAAGGCGGGTACCGATCTTATTTTGATCATAAGTCGGTCAATTTTCATGCTAGAGACAGTTTTTATTTGTTTGAAAGCTCTAATTAAATACTTTAAAAAGATTCTATGAGCTTTCTTCGAATAATGCAATTTTTTCTCGTTATTTCGCTCTTAATCTTCCGATTTATGCATTTGACGAAAAAAGCTAAGCATTAATTTACTGTATCTTAGTTCATATTTGCCATAGAAAAATTATAAAAAAACGCATTGTTTTCGTTTTTTTAAAAGCTACAATTTGACTCTACATTTTTTTGATAAAATGTATATTTTTAGAGTTATTCGCAAAAACAACATTTGAGAAAGTCGATTTATTCGTATCTCGCAAAAATCTGTTACTTGCTACTTTGAATAACTCAAAAAATAACTCAATTAGTTTTACGAAAAAAACGTAAAGAACATGTGGCAACCATCCCCAAGGCCCTAGCGTACAGCGGCATGATATAGAAAATATTCCTTGAGCTGTTCCCTACCTTCTGTGAAAATTTCAAGTAAAGCCATGGTGGACGAAAAAATTGCAAGCCGAAATGCTTCATTTCCTGGACTATGTTTTTCGTGTATCATGTCCTTCTCAATGAATAAAAAGCTTTTGCTTTTTTATCATACATCATTCCAAGCTCCCATTTACAAAACTTCTCATTTAAAACCTCAAATCTTCATAAGAAACTACATTTCAATAATGGACGCGAACTTCGAGGTACCGTAGTAGGGAGAGAGTACAGGTAAGGAGTTAGCGGTAGTGGTTAGTGCGTTTACTCTGTGATCGTGGAAGTTAGTTACTATCTCAATGGTTCATCATTAGATAGGTGAACAAAAATGTATTATCACGAGATTCTCCTTCTTTCAGACAATTCAATCTCCCTATTCCATTCATAGAGAAATTCTATGCCCCACCAGTAACATTAAAATGCTGATGATGAGTTGCATTATTTTTTCAAGTCTATAAAGCCTTTGACCACTTGGACATCGACCATCCCCATTGTTGTTATACATGGAGAGAGAAAAACAATAAGGTAGTTTTGTAACAGTAATACATACAGGCCTGTAATTCTATAGTACCAATCGAGTCACAGTGTGTGTGTGTGATAATTCTCCACACTTGTACCTTGAATAGAAGCAAATAATATAGTGCAGATACCTGTCTGTGGCTGGTCTGCCTGTGCTGATGTTGAAGGCATAGTTAATGATGCAGATTGCCATCTGTCACTCAGCATAACGCTGCAATGCGCAGTATCTATGGAGGCCATCCCTGAAAGTAGAATTAGATTTGAATCACTTTAAAGCAGCAAGAAGAAAATTATAAGTCAGAAGAAAAAACCTAGAATATGTTATTTTTTTTTCCATGTGAAGAGTTATTTAAATATATTATAATAAATAAATGTTACACTAACGCAGCTGCATAACAGTTGTAGTTGTCTGCATAGCAAGCTGAAATGACGTGGATGGATTTTCAGTACTGTTATGAGCTGAAGGTTCAGTCATAGTGGTAAGACCTGCAAAAATAAAATTAGCTTGTTACTGTCAAATAACTGCATTATAAAACTTTATCATTACTTTAAAATAAAAATTATCTGTTACACACCTGGCAATAGTAATAACGGAACAGCAAGAGCATTCAAACGACTGTTCCTGTTTTTCTGCTGTGGGGTAAAATGAACATCGCAGACTTTTTTCCTTTTATAAATTTCTTCATCAGATAACCCATTTAATAGTGGTCCAGCAAGGTTCACCCACATTTTGAAACGTTCAAGATCTTTCAAAGGATTTGGAAAGTTATGTATGGTGACACCTGTAAGCACAATCACAAGTATTGCATAAATATAGCTCAAAGTACCTTTCATAAGTTAAATTAGTTAGGAACAGCAGCCTTACCTGTTGTAGTACAGCCAAATATACAACGACGTGTAGATGGCATGGTTAAAAACAGATTCTTGATAGACTTATCAAATAAAACTTAAACTAAATGGTCCCAAGCCACAAGAACTTATCACTAAACGTCCACAAATAATAAAAGAATCACTAACTAAAAGCGTCTATTTTCGCAAAAACTGGAGTTCACAATATCTACGAAAGCGTCCACAATATCGCAAATTAAGGTGATAGCGGAGGAAATTAATCAACTCAACGCACGTAACACAAAATCACAAAAGAAAGGAGAATAGCTGAAGAAAATAACCACAACGAACTTTTTCCAAACTTTCAAATTGCAATTTGTGTTGATTGACACTAGCTAGCGGTGTTACCTGCCACATTCATGAGAAATCCCTCCAAAAGAATTAGAGTTACCAGCAAAAATGCTTAAATGGATTCTCAGTTAAAACATTGAAAGATCTCATTTACATTAAACGTAAAGAAAATTAATAGCGTTATCTTTAGCAAAGAATATGAAATTTAACAATAGTTTTATTAAATAGAAAAATCCTCAAACAGCTACAAATATGGCAAATTTTCATGATCTAGCAGCCCAAAAAAAGGGGTATTTTGACGCACAAGCAGTACCATCTACCAATAATAATTGAACTACAAAAATGTGCAGGGTTTATAAAAAGCAAGGAACAAGCTAACTAGATGGCAGTAGCTTTTTTGAGCTAATGGCATACATACGGGAGTTGCCCCCCCCTGATTGACAAGAGTCAAAGTCTGAGACAGTTTTAAAAATGAGCGCGTTTTCTCAGGACATAATAATTTATTGTACCTAGATCTATTAGATATTTATGTGCGAAATGCGGATTGTTACTAAATATAATATTAGCTCTGCCAATCGTTGAGACACTTTTTTTTAATCTAATATAAAAACAGGTTATGGGTTCATAGTAAAAAAAAGTTAACGAACGACGAGAAGTTGGCATGAGTGTCGATAAAGCAGTCTAGTATTTGTCGAACATCCATAGGTGGCAGCACTCACTTTGCAATAAAAGGCGCTATTCCGAGACTGTTTTGCTTCATATAAATGTCAGTGCTGACATTAATGAACATAATGTTGCCATGATGTAAAATATCCTACCAAACTAATTTATTTATTTAAGGTACTCGTAGATAAGATAAAGTCAAGACAATGATCAAGTATAAAAAAATAATGAAAATTTTCTTTCGAATATAGTCTAGCTAGACAGTAATCCAATAATTAAAATTAGCAAGATATTGGACCCGATTCTGTAATTTAGAATTTAGATTCTATAAAGCAAAAATGAGATATTTTAATATGTATCAGATTTTAATGAAGTTTCCATCAATAATTATGTACGATCAAACTAACTGATTCTTGACCCACTTGCCCGATAATTCGCTTAAAAATGGCAATTAGACAATTTATCCTTTGAAGAGAATGCGTAATTGCACTAAGGACCTTCTAATAACAAAGAAACTGTGTTAGCTTATTTTAAGTTTAGTTAGTCATGCATGCCAGAATCATGCCCATTATTATTATAAATCTCTAAAAGCTAAAATACACCTTTGAACTGTCTCGAAACAACCTTTGTTATTATATATATAAGTATCAAGATCATAAATTGCACTTTACATTATAACTATTATAATGATGTCGATACTGGCATGATTCTATAAACCTAAACTTAAATTTGACAACAGCGTATCCTTGTAATTCTCTATACAGGATAAAAAAGAGAAACTGATGTTAAATTTAGTTTTAAGTTAAGACAATCATGCCAGAATCGATACCATTGTGGCTAATACATTTGCTTCTTTAATTCTTTGCAAATCTATCAGTATTGAATTACGTCATGATTCGAAGTAATATTTTGCTGCTTACAGTGCAGTTGATCAAACATAAATATCAGGATTTTAGCTTTACTGCTTAATAATAGCTTATACTAGTAGGCATCAGTAGGATGTCTTGTGTGTGCAAGGATTTGAGAGCTTAGTGTGGCAACACCGAAGTCTGCAGTAATTATTTGTATGTATTTCTGAGCGCCATTGCTTTTTACCGATGTAATGTTGAAATGATTTTAATCTATTTTCATCTGCAAATCTGTGTGATGTTTTAGCAAAACTTTGAGGTGATTGTGTACTAAAACTATTGAACTTCTTAAAGTTTTGTGCTGGGCTTTGTCATGGCCGGTAAGTGGTGACTTTTATCGCCCGCTAATCAAGGGCGAAATTGGATTTGGGAATCGCAATAATTCGAAGATGTTTTATCGTTCGAACTCTGACGGTAAATGTAATGTTATTGTCATAAGTGTGGTTAACAGTATTTAGTGTTTACATACTGTGATGATGGCTTGATGTAAATGTTTGGTTATCATATAAGCCGATAGATTTTAACCTTTTTGCTCTCAGATCATTTACTGTTACGCTAAATATGTAGTTTATAGAAGATTCTCGCAACGGTCCTGGCGTTGTAGAATGTCGCTAACAATATTAATTATTCCGTAAATAATGCGGGCGTCAATAGTTGTTTGTATGAAAAGCATAAGCACTGCGGTTGTTGATTTTGAAGGTCAGTCTAGCGTATTTGACGATTGACGTTGCATATTTTTACAGTAAATGATCAATTAGTTGGCTTTACCTTCTTTATAAAATAGAATTTTTCTTTTAAGACAAAGGTCAATGGCCATGATGTGATGCCACTGTTTCCTCAATAGTAACAATTATGAACACTAACATTGAAAATTAACATAAGCATATCTTCATATTTGAATCAACGAAAATGCTTTCTTTAATTTTGGTGTATAGGTTATAAGAAGTAGGTAAGTGTAAAATTTTCTAACAGATGTGTAATCACTGCAGACTCAGATCAGGTAAATCACAAATGTATTAACTGTCATTGACCAACATACTTCCCACATGTTGTTACACTTGACATAATAATAGCATTGGGACCCCAATTAATCCACTCTTAGAAAATTATTGGCATTGAAACTTAAATAGTTAAAAAAAACTTGTCTTTTGTCTTTCTTTAGTGTTCGTTATTAGTTACAATTGGTTTTTTAAAATGACCTCTTTATTTTGAGTAATTAATTCAAAACAGTTATTGTGGTATTATTTAGCTCTAAAATTAATTTGTTTGATCAGTATAGCAAGTTATAACAGTATTTTAAACAAGGACAAGTGCTTGGTGCCACCACCTATGTAGTTCATCACTGCCATAGTTGGTGTTGTGCCAAATCAACTTTCAAAGTTTTCCTTATGTCAAACCCAAAAAAATATCTATGATGATATTTTGTTTATAAATAATACATTTATATATGATCATGATGTTTATTTTATGTATTAAACAAATGATAATACATAACTATAAGAAATAAATATAAAAACAGATTTATAGACATACATTATTCAAGGAGTGTTGCTGATTCTCAGGAGCAGGGTATTGAGGATATGAGAGCAGAGAATGGATAAATAAATATCGTATGAATATGATAGTTGCCCATCAGTGAAGTCATATTCAGTCTTGATCTAGTCTAAGATTGATGTTATTCAAAAATAATTTCTGGAATTACCCAGATTTTTCACAGGTATAGTGAAATATACTTGTACTAAAATGGGAGGCATACTGATTTAACAACACTATAACAGAAACCAGGACATTAGCATTAGTTTACAGTGAATACATTTTTATTCATTAGATGATTTTTGGAGGCATCAGTACTCCTACCAAGGCACTTATTAAAACTACACATTAAAAAAAAACAGGATTGCCTTCTAACATTGATTAATTTAATTACATTACCTAATGAATGCCCCTTGCAACTGTCATTCAATTTATTTATCCACTGTTTATATACTACAAACCATCTGAAAAACATCCCTAGTTGCTTTGCTATAATAACCACTACAGTAAAGTAATAAGACATATATTGTCACATTGAAGTATCTATTTTGCTCACACAATTAAGTATTCTTAACCAATTGTTCTTGCCAGGGCCACCATTGTTTCAGTCCCCAATGTAAAAGGATCTTACTGGTGAACAAAGTAAGGAGTTGTATTTCAAAATGGAATCTCCTTTCAAAAGTGTTGTGTTACTATTGTAGGTTGAGAAACAGGTTTCAAATACATTTTATTGTTCATTCCTAGATTAGACTTGTCTGTGTGCCAATGTGTCTCTCAGCAGTTTAGTTTTTTTGTATATTTTGCATAGAATTTTGAGTTATGTGAGTTGAAATGCTCAAAAAGAAAGAAACTCCTTGGTACTCCAATCATCGGATTCGTATACAAGATAATTTTATCAACTGGAGGAATCACACTTGCCGTTTACATTGGAACACTGTATGCGATTGTACGTACAAAATATGATTTTTTATTTTTCTGCAATGTGAATATTGTATTCACTAATTTCAACAGAAATATAAGTGGAGAGTGCCTGGTAATAGTTTTGCAATAAGCTTTATGTATAAAATATGGTTTTTAATTAATGTTGGGTGTAAAAAAGTCACCAAACTAAATTATTAAATAAATCAGTGTGACCGTTGCGAGAGAGAGAGATAGAAGGACCACAAATTTGTAATATCATTAATTTTATTTCATAGTTTTTGAAACTAATTTTAGTATGACACTGACTAACATTATAAGAATGACAATTTGGCTAACTGAATTTTTGTATTATTATGGTGTCTTGTGATGTTTATATTTAAATCTAAAGAAAAGTTTACTAGAAAAAAAAATCCACGCAGACCAGGCAGCGGACGGGACACGAACCCGCATCCTTCGCTATCAGTGCGAATGCACTGACCATTATGCTACCACGGCCCTATTAGCCGCATCGAAATTTTCCTAGCCTTAAGCTGCAAGGCAGCACCATCTCTTCGCATTGTAGGTAACCCACAATGTCTACTGTCCCGTCCGCTGCCTGGTCCGCGTGGATTTTTTTCTAGTAAACTTTTCTTTAAATTTAAACATCTAGCAGTTAAATGCTTAAAAAATAAATAAAATCATGTTTATATTTTCCTCACAACCTTTTTCACATTTTACTAATAGAACTCATGCCTGATTGAAATATATTTGCTCTTGCTTATTGTATGTAACTTTTATTAGGAATTCTTTTACTTTCCTGATTTTCTGGGGCTACATGTGCGTAATTCATTTCTTTCTATTTGTGTTTTATGCAAGCATGTTTTAATGATGCTAGCCAAAGTATTTTCTTATATACTTTATAAGGAAGATTTTTAATAAGTGGTTTCAGGACGGAATTTACTTTCCACAGTAGATATTAATTAAATTTCAAATTACTTACAATTAAATTATAATAACTGGCTCCTACCTATTTTGAAAAATATATAAAAAGATAGGTAGGTAGCATTGTATTTTGTTTTCATATTTACATTTGTCAGAAAGCTCCAATGTTTAAGGTGTCTGCCCACTATAGTGTATCATACAATAACAGTGCTAGAAATGTATCAGCCAAAAAAATATTCTTTATATTGAAAAGTATGACACTAAACAGTTCCTTCACTGAGCAACACTGTCGCGTATCATACATGGAGCGTCAACAATTTGCTTTGTTTTGCCAGTGCTGCTCTGTACATGACATGCGACATTGCCAAACTGGACCGCCAAGGCGGAGAGAAGGTGGGCATATGGGTTTTAACCAGGTATGATGACCCAATGGTCATTGATAACACTTCACTCAACACAGACACACATGCTGAATGAAACTGATTCTTATTGGTTTTGTTTTGGTGGATGTTGCACATGGGCATCATACAGATTAAATATGGTTTACGTACGTGTTGCATACTGGCACAGAATGCATTGATCCATTCAGTGGGCATATTAGTGTATCATGTTGCTTTTTGTGTCTGATATGCTCCTATGAGCATATCAGACACAAAAAGCAACATGACTATGGACTATTCCATTCATGATATTGGTGTAGTGGGCAGACACCATTATACCTACAATAATTTAGTTTTACAAAATAATTTAATCAATGATGTTCATAAGATTTTAATTTTTCTAATCCAAAGAAAACCTGGTTATTTTTGAATAAAAACTGTCATATACTGATAAGAGACTTATCAACAGCACCAAAACGTAAATATTTTATTTTGATAACTAGTTATACATATATTTTTTTATATCTTGTATTAAGAAAGGATGATATAGACAGCTGATTATATAGGTAGTTATTTTGTCCATATGTTTGATTATTAATACCAACAAACAGACATAGTTGAATTTATGTCTAAACTATTAGATTATTTTTTTCATAGCATTATTATTACAGTCAAATAATTGTAACAGAAAAGTATTTGAGAAAGAAAATTCTGACCAATCCCAGAAAATGATAATGGTAAGCAAGTCTCACAAAGGTAGCTACAAATTTGGTGGCTGATGCATTGTATGAGCTCCAACTTCTCATCTCATTTAGTGCTAGACACTTATAGCTGATGATTTCAGCTGTATCTATAGTAAAAATTTATAATGCACTTTTTTAAGACCCATTCTACTTAAATGATTTGGTTCCTAGACAAGAATACACTAAGTGATCTGAAATATTTTCGAAGAAACTCCATAGGCTGTGAACTCAATATATGAATGAGATAGGTATTGCATTATTAAGATAGTACATTGTTCACTGAGAGGATGAAAGTGGAAGGAAAGTGACAGATCACCAATGAGGGTGTAGTTTGAGGCGCAGCCAACTGCCTTAATACACTGGGAATAGCACTTTCTTTCGAGGGATACATAATGCTTTATACTATACCTGCGAGGCAATAAAAGACAAATTATTTCATTAAAATTTATATTAAAGATGTTACAGTTGCTAAACTTTAGCATGGGAGCTTTATATTGTTTATTTCACAGGTAAAGGTTATCAATGACTGCTTAGGTTGTTTGGTTAAATTCTGGCGGTATCAATGAATCAAAGAAAACAATTAAAAACGCAGTTAAAATAAAATAGAGAGCTTTTTACTTTTGTTCTTTTTTCAAAATCAATTCAGAAAGCAAACAATGGTGTTGATTCTGGCATGATTATCTAAACTTAAAACTAAATTTAACACTAGTCTCCCTTTTCATTCTGTAAATATTATGACAGAGATATATTGTTGTCAAATTTAAATTAAGGTTTAGAGAATCATGCCAGAATTGACACCAATATCATTTCAGAAAAAAAGATCGCAAAGTCTGCCAAATTATACTGACCACTTTTAGGAAACATAAATAAAAAAAGCATGTGAATGCCTATGAATTTCCATAGACTTCTCTGTCCGCTCAGCACATTAGAAACGGATTTTCATACACTTTTCCAACCTGCTTAGTAGTACAAAAGTAATGAGGTCCTTTCTGCTTCATTTTTAAAACAAGAATAAAGCACTTTGCCATCAAGTGTACTATAAACATAATTTACTATGGCTATTCTCTGTCCTTGCAGGCAATGGTGGTGAAACGACGTGGTGTTTTAGTCAGGTGAAAGGTACCCTTGAGGATGACGTGACTGAAGCGGACCTGATATCCTGCGTGGAGTTTAACCACGATGGGGAGCTCTTGGCCACCGGCGACAAAGGTGGTCGAGTTGTTATATTTCAGGTCAGTACATTATAGATTTATGTGCTAAGATGTCATTATAATTGGAGGATATATTTATAGAAATCAAATTGTATTCTTCTTTCTACTCTAAATAGGTCAAAAGTCATGTCTGCATGCACTTTCCTTCATGTGTGTATGTATGTGTATGTATATATACATATATGTAAATATCCTATGTTGTGCTTGCCTCTATTTTCCGGCTTTCGCAAGTCACCTTTGCCATAAGGAGCTGGCTGAAAATCAGCGCTGCTGTGGTATCGCTAAAGCGTTTACCACAGAGGCGTATAGAGCTGAGTCAGCGACCTGTTGGCTTTACACGACACGTACTATTGCCTAGTATTTAGTTTTCATGTTTGTTATTATGTCTATGTGTTTTATTTTATTTGCCATTTTGTTTTACTAATTTCATGTGGGTCCTGCCTGTCTTTTACCTTTAGGCTTTAGTGAATGGTCGTTGTTTTATCAGTGGATCTGGACTAGTGCGAATTACTTGTTCTTTTTGGTACCGTACGTAAGACCTTACGTCAGTCTAGCATGGTGTGGGCCGGATTTTTTTTGTATTGTGCTATTTCATTACTTTACTAGAAAACGCGTGCTACATAACACGTGACATCTGAGAAGTAGCAATATGAATATTGACGAAATGTCTCCTATTCTACTTTTTTATAGCAGAGATTTTCCGCAACTCGACACTCTGAGCCTATTTTTTGTGTGAGCACTGGCTCAGTGAGGGATGGTTTTAGTCTCGCCATCCCATCTCCCCCAAATAGCTCAGTAGTACTGTCGCAGAACAGAAAAAAAAGATTATAAGTCGTATCATATCACTCCAGTACCAGAATCAGTCAGTATAACCAAAACTCACACATTAAAACGGTTATATGGTGCTTCCGCAGCACAACCTCATGCCCCGCTGTACTCTGATCGCGCATTTACTGTACCTATTTAGGTTATTGGTAAATTTTATCTCATAAGTTTGTTAATAAGTCTTTGCTAACTACCCCGCCTTATGCTAAGTGTAAACGGCTCCAGTTGGAAGATAGCTAAAGCGTCATTATTGTGGGCTGCTCCAGCCATCCTTACTCAAACTGAATCCTCTACCACACGAAACCCTCTGGATCCTCACTCACCAACAGAAATACAACACCATCAATAGTTACTGTAATTTTCTGTAGTCTTCTGTAAACTGCGGTCACTGCCCCACATGGGCATTCCAAAATTCGCAATACCTTACCATTCTTTCTAAAATATAAATATAATGTATAAATCCTAGAAACTGCTATATCATAGTCAGAGCCGTGCGATATGAGTTTTTGTATTTTTTATTTTTTTTTATTGCATTAATAAATGTGTATTTATTTTGGACTATTTAGACAGTGGTGAGCGACATGCAAATGGCGAATAAATTTGGTTTTTTATTTACAAATATATTGAAATTGCATTTAGCGATTGTATCTTATGCCTTCATTGGATAAATAATGCTTGCAGCTATCGATTTTACATTGTAGTATTGAACAGTTTAGCATAATTATATAAAATGTTCGCTATGCTTTCGTGTCACGATCTCAATTGCAATATTTATATTGTATTGTAGTATCAAGTATGCTAAACTGCACATTGAGCTAACGCGAATGCCGCCTACTTGTGACTTCCCATTCTTTTTTGTGTTCTGTACGTCCTTTAATATCTCTGCAAGTCTCGAGTAGCGTCTGCGGGTTATCCAGGTATGTCACCCGTCGTTTGGTCACGACTCTGCATTGTAGCAGGATGTGGATATTCGTCTCCTTCATGCAAGCTCTGCACAGTGGACTGTCCGAGACATCTTTGTTAAAAAGATGTTTATTCAAGTGTCCAAGTTCCTTTGACGATGGTCACGATTTGTTTCAAAGTATGTTTCGGTAATTTGTTTAATTTACTTGCTAATCGTAGGTCAACCTTGGGAATGGTTTCCCTGGCTGCATGTAGTCTGCTAGTCTAGCCCGATATTTGTTGTGTTGGCATAGATATCGTTCTTATCCAACCAAGCAGTTGGCGGAATGGGATAGGTACGATTGGTTCTGGGCCCAATGCCACAATGTTCGACCCTTTCCTGGTCAAGCAGTTTGCCAAATTGTTGCCCCTTGACCGACTATGTCCTTTTATCCATTTAAATATTATCTTATTTTCGTTGCGCACTTCCATCAGATTACAACGGCATTTAAAGATATCCGTAATTTTGGACTATTTAGACAGTGGTGAGAGACTATTCTTCTATATTTTCATGAATACTGACCAGTGACATTGAAAGAAAAATATTCCCTCGCTTGTAACTATCAGCTTCGTAACTAGTAGATTTCGTTAAAAGAAATATAATTCTTTATTCGAAAGCGGTTTCAGACAAAGATCATTTTTTATTCCATCTCAATAATTACAAACCATCAGTTTTGATGGCGGCCAAAGTGATGTGTTCCTCAGTTGAGCATAACGCCTAGGTCTATTCATAAATACTTGACCTCTTTGGAGAAACAACATTTTGCCAACTAGTGCTGGTGTACGGCAGTTGTCCAGCACCTTTTTACTGACGAACATAACTAGTTCGGTTTTCACTGGGTTTTACATTTAGCCCATACACATTTACTTTACATATCGTCTGTGCTCCATTTCTCTGTGTTATGGATGGACTCTTGTGTTACGTCACAAACCGTGCCCACACGAGAGATTAAGATTGATAAGTCATCTGCATATCCTATCGCGATTATTCAGTCTCGTAATAAGGTAATTTACAAGTATAAGTATTTCCAAGCAACTTACCGCACTAATATCATATCAGTTATACTTGTCATCTAAAACTAGTTTTGTCAAAAGCTTCTTCTATGTCAAAATGAACATACCTTCGCATAGAAGTAGACATATGCCAAAGCATAGATTTTTACCTTGCGTTTTTGTCTATGATAACCACGGCATGTAATGTAGATTCTCTCGATTTACCTGGACTGTAGGTAGGGTTGCCAACCCTACTATATAATAAAGTATCCTACTATATTACGGGACCAAATACTATATTTCCATAAAATAAATGTAGTAATCGAATGTAACAGCAAATATATATTCTTTTTTAAAAAATAAAGTAAATATTTAACCGCATACTATATTTTTTCTATTTACTTGTCATAATTTATAATCAATTTTAGAGGTAATAGCTTTGAAAATACTATATTTTATAGAAAAAAAGTTGGTAACCCTAACCTTAGGCGTGTTGAGTTGTTTTAAGCGGTGACTTCGTCCGTACATTGTCTCTTCGTTCTCTATCACAATGTACCCAGGGCTTAAAAATAGGGCTAGTCCGAAACCAACAACCTAACTTCTAGACCTACTTTAACTTGATTTTTTGACATGGCGAGCTTAACAAATTATCAATTTGTATAAGATACTTAATTTCATTTTGTGTTATATTACAATTATAATTAATTTCAATCGACCAGTAGTGGATTTGCGATTATCGTAGGGCAATTCACTGCCTATGGTTGGGCCATTAGGGAGATTTAGCCATGCATGATTCACCACACGGGCTCAGTGTGGATTGGTGGATGCCAACACCTGCAGGTTGCAGCCGGGATCAACGGCTTAACGTGCCTTCCAAAGCACTCCTCCTTGCTCAAGATATTAATTTTGGTTAACCATCCAATGACCAGCCATTGCGAATGTTGCTTAACTTCCATGATCGTAGACCGAACGCGATAACCAATTGCGCCATCGAGCTCTTCCTTTATTTATTTATTGTTGTTTATTCAATAAGAAAAATACATGGAATACTTGCTAAATATGAAAAATTGGTATTTGAATCATTTAATTTAACATTAAATTTTTCTATTCTTAGACTGAGCAGAGGAGAAATTATTCAAATACCAATTTTCATTGTTGTGTTTATCACAATTATTATTAATTGTTCTAGAGAGACCCAGCATCAAAGCAATGTGTGCCCAAGAAGGGCGAGTACAACGTATACTCGACCTTCCAATCACATGAGCCTGAGTTTGACTACCTGAAGTCATTGGAGATTGAAGAGAAGATCAACAAAATCAGATGGCTTAAGCGCAAGAATCAAGCTCACTTCCTCCTCTCCACCAACGATAAGACTATCAAACTATGGAAAGTGAGTGTATTATGTATTTATGTCAAAATTTAAGGTTTACAGCGATTTGTACAAAATATATTTGGTCATTTCACACATATGCCAGCAACGTTTCCAATAATTAAATAAAAACGTATCTATTGAGTAGAAATAATTGAGATGGAAATAGACTATCTGCTGTATATTTTGGTATTTAAAAATGATAAAAACCAAAATGTAACTAAAAGTGTATTTCGACAACATCTTGCGTCCGCCTTATGCCAAAGATATACTAAATCATAAAGGTAGGGAAACATAACCGAACGTATAAGCTGTTTATCTCGCAAATAGTATAAATCTTTATCAACAGGTAGTTTAAGAATATTATATTGGATGGGTTGGAAAAATGACACTATTGTTACCAGACAAAAAGCTAGGCAATATTATTGTAAAAAATGTAGCGCTGACTAGTTTTTCTATCGAGAACTTGTAAAACTAACTCTCTGTCTAACTAACTAACTAAATCTATTCCATCATCACTGATTTAATTAGCAAGGTGATGGTAAATTAGAACTCATTTGAGACTATTGAAGGCCTTGCAACTGGCAACCAATAGCTGTTTCTGATTATAAACGAAGAATTAAACTCTAGATAGATTAGTAAAAGGTATAACTAGTGCAAAAGTATATCCAAAGTCAAAATTTAATACACATAACAAATTGTCTGAAGCTTTGGACGATCTTTTAATGTAAACGACTTGAAATAAATAAATAATAATTATTAAATTATTATATGAGCGCCCACGGGATTATTATGCACTGAAAGATGCGCATAGCAGCGCTTTCATAGTTGACTTCGCAACCGCCATAAATTTTGAATTTCACTATAAATCTTTTATACTGCCACCGGGAATAAATAACGACACGCGTTCAGTTGTCACAGGTGTCGGAGCGAGACAAGCGCGTGACTGGTTACAACACGCGCGAGGAGGGCGGCCGTCCAAGGGACCCGGCGCGGATCACGCAACTACGCGTGCCTACTGTACGCCCCGCGGAACTTATGGTGGAAGCGTCGCCGAGGTGAGCGCTAATATCTATCTATAATATGTACACGACACTCGTAGGGCACAGTACCACACGCACGAGGAGGGCGGCCGTCCCAAGGGACCCGGTACGGATCACGCAACAACGCGTGCCTACTGTACGCCCCGCGGAGCTCATGGTGGAAACGTCGCCGAGGTGAGCGCTAATATCTATCTATAATATGTACATGACACGTAGGGCACAGTACCACACGCACGAGGAGGGCGGCCGTCCAAGGGACCCGGCGCGGATACGCAACTACGCGTGCCTACTGTACACCCCGCGGAGCGCATGGTGGAAGCGTCGCCGAGGTGAGCGCCAATACAGGGTGTAAAAAATCCATTAACGAAGTCGAAGGCCACGTATTTTCCACACCATGACGATCATTTTTTTCTTCTGGACCATACCTGGGAAATTTATGGTTATGGAGATATTAAAGGACAATGTCACTATTTTTTTCTATGACACATTAATATTTTCAAAATGTTATTTAGAAACTTTTTATCGACGCACTTACAAACAGGCACACACATACACACAGGCACATTCTTTGCGTAGCGCCACAAGAGCGCGCCGCGCTATACATTGTGTACTGGGGACAAAATTCTATTTTTTTTTAACATAAAAATCCAAATGATTCCTACATATAATATTTTGTAGTATTACTTGTTTGGCTGTATAGAATGTGTAGTTTTAGTCTTTGTCATAGGTTTTTTTACACCCTGTATGTACACGACACTCGTAGCGCACAGTACCAAACGCGCGAGGAGGGCGGCCTTCCAAAAGTGCCCGGCGCGGATCACGCAACTACGCGTGCCCACTGTACGCCCCGCGGAGTTCTTCTTCAAAAGTATTATTTATTTAATAAAAGTTTTATAAAAAAGCTGAAGGGAATTTAATGATCAATAACTTTTATGAGACGTTTTTATTAATGAATGACATTTTAAAGGTTTTATAAAGGAAAAACTACAAACATGTTCAAACAAACAACAATAATTTAAATTTTCAGACAAAGTAAAGTCAATAATTTCGGAGATATAGAGATAAACGTGTTTTCCAATATGGCGGCCAGTTGTGACCACCCTACATTCTCCGATTTTTTTTATCTTCTTCTGACCTACCCTAACATCTGAAAAAAAAACTAGGGTGTGGTAAAATTTTGCATTACGATGAAGTATAACCGCGATCTCTGTTTCTTGGGCTAAAACCACTGCGAGTTTTCTGAGGAGATGTCTTCCTTATCCCACCTTCTCCTTTCCTTCAGCGGACCACTCGCACGGGCCTATATTGTCACCGGATTACTGTGGCCAATATTCCAATGCGAATAAAGACATTTGGTGACGCATTTCATTTCCGAACTATCCGCAAATTTAATACTTTGCTCGCTTACCTGTTCAACACGGGATCCTTTAAAAGAGGCGTGAAGAAGCACTATGCAGGCCGGCAAGGTGAGGATGGCTGTTGTGGCCGGTAAAACTGCCGCAACAGCTCTCTTCGCGTCTGGACTTCACCATCACTTAACATCAGGTGGGGTGGAGTCATTTGTCGGACCTATTTATAAAAAATAAAATTAGACTTGCTACGAATAGTATATTCGGCAGTATACCGAATACCGAATATTCGGCGAGGCCCCTGACCGAATAGCCGAATATTAGGCAAAAGTATTCGGCTGGATTTTAGCGCCAAAAACTTGTACAGACGTGATTGTTTCGCGCTCCTTTGTTTGCAATTCAATTCAGTCAAATGCAGTTTCAACAGAAATGGATCTTTTTCTTAAATATTAGTAATATATCACATCATGACAACCCGTATACATGGTGACAGCAAGGAAAATTGAATTTCCGTGTTTGATTAAGATTGCAGCAAAATATTTGTCGGCGTCAGGAAGTAGTGTTTATTCAGAGTGCCTTTTCTCTGAAGCTGGAATGGTCTACGAGAAAAAAAGAAGTAAACTACTTCCTAAAAATGCAGAAAAGTTTGTCTTTCTGCACCATAATCTTCCCCTTCTAAATTTTGATTATGAAAATAATTCAAATGCATAGAAAAATTCTTAACTTGTTTAATACAGAAAATGATTAAATTATGTACCTGTTTAATTTATCAATGACAACTTAATAAATGATTATAAAAGAAATGAGAACCCTTTTAAATTTTGATTACCACAATAATTCAAATACATAGAATCCTCCATTTGTCCAATTCAGAAGATAATTACGTACCTGTGTTATGTACCAATGACTGCTTAAATGATTATATATAAAAGAAATGAAAATATGAATTTTAACGTAATCAATCGATTTTAATTTTTCATTTTACCAATTATGTCTCTATGACAAAATATATTATTTAAGTATTCGGTATTCTCCCGAATAATATGTAGATATTCGGTATTCGGCCGGATATAATAAAAGCAGCCGAATAGGCCAAATATCGAATAGTAACCGAATATTCGTTGCAAGTCTAAATAAAATACATAGAAAAAATTTTTCGCTTGTTGGTCACCTTTAGCACGAACCCATGTCGAATTCGAATACGTAAAAGATAGATCGAATTCAACTATTAGGATTCGATAATGGTTCGTGCTAGGGGTACGAAGCTACAAACATGTTAATAAAAGGGACCTAACCTTTGTTTAGAATTTGTTCTTTTGTTCTGATAAAGAAAAATAACTATCGAACAGTAAAATTGACCATTGTTAAGTGATCCTCTTCCATACTGCTGGCGAGTAGTACTTAATATGATTTTTTTAGTTTATTTTACTTATTATTATTTTCTTTTTCACTATATATATTTATTAATATATTTATATTTTTAATGTTGCAAAATATTTTCAGTGATATTGATGAAGAATCTGTCAGTGATAGCTCTAATTTTCTCTCCATCTCATCCCCTAATTCTAGTTTCCATAGTGCATCTTTGCCCTTGAACGAGCGCCTAGAGTCTGAATTCTCTCCTTTTCGCAAAAATTTTAATGCAGTTCACATTAACGCCCAAAGTATCCCGGCGCACTATACTGATTTGTTGGCTACATTCTCAAATGACCCTAACTTGCATGCTGTTCTGGTTTCGGAAACTTTCCTTAAACCCTCTCTCCCTTCCTCTTCATATTCTCTTCCCGGATTTCATCTCATTCGCAATGACAGGACCGGTAAGGGTGGCGGTGGTGTTGCTATTTATCTTCGAAACCACTTTTCCTTCAATATTTTGGATAAATCTCCCTCTTTGTACTCCGAATCATCTGAGCATCTGTTTGTTGAGGTTCTCCTTGGCCACCTCAAGGTTCTTCTTGGAGTTTTTTATAGCCCTAACCTCCATATTGATTATTTTGCCAAATTTGAGACTCTCTTGGAGAATCTGGTTCCTATGGTTCATCATACTATCATTATGGGGGATTTTAACACCTGCCTCATCAAACACGATGCTCGCTCTTATCGTTTGCATTCAATTGTGGATTCGCTTAATCTAAATTTACTTCCCTTATCTCCAACTCACCACTTTCCCGATTGCGGCCCGTCTCTGTTGGACCTGGCCATTGTTTCCTCAACTGACCTTGTCAGTTCCCACGGACAACTATCTGCAGAAGCTTTCTCCTACCATGACCTCATCTTCCTTTCTTATAAAGTCCGCTGTCCTAAACCTAAGCCACGAGTGATTATGCAGCGCGCTTTTGGGAATATTGATGAAAAGCGCTTTATGTCGGACCTTAACGGCATCGATTGGGATGCAGTATTTGAAGCTCCTTCTATCGACCAAAAGCTTGAAATCTTTAATTCTTTACTCATTCAACTATTCGATGTTCATGCTCCTCTTCGTCCTATACGTCTCAGACACCTTCCGGCTCCCTGGCTTACTGCGGAAATCAAGGCCTTAATGATCAGACGTAACGTTGCCAAAGTGAAGTTCAGAAATGATCCATCTGATGTTACCCGTTCACGGTACAGAGAGCTACGGAATCGCTGTAGTCGAATGTGCAGAGACGCACAGCGTCGCCATATACATGACTCTGTTGCTAATGGTAACCCAGCGAAAGTATGGTCATTCCTGGGCTCACTTGGCATTGGCAAGTCTAGATCGAGTTTACCTCTCAATCTGGATCCTGACTCCCTGAACCGCCACTTCACGCTCAATTCTGTTATCCCTCATAACGTTAAACTCCACTCCCTCTCACGTATTCCTAAATTGGCATATCCTCCCTTTTCTTTTAGGCCTGTGTCTGAGAGTGAGATTGAAAAGAATATACGTGCTGTTAAATCTAACGCTGAGGGCTTAGATGGTATAGGCCGACGTATGATTCTCCTTTGCATGCCCTCTTGCGTTTCCATTCTCTGCCATATATTTAACTTTTCACTCACCACAGGAATTTTTCCGAGCTGCTGGCGCAAGGCTGTTGTCATCCCTATTCCTAAATCTTCAAATCCTACCCAACCTTCTCATTTCAGACCTATTTCTATTCTTCCTTTCCTGTCAAAAGTCTTGGAACGTCTTGTATTCCACCAGGTTAGCGTATTTGCTAACTTTAATAATATCCTTTGTCCTTTCCAGTCTGGCTTTCGTCCGGGACACAGCACCGTTACTGCCTTAACTAAGATGTCTGATGATGTGCGAGAGGGAATGTCTAATCAACAGCTTACAACCTTAGTTTTATTAGATTTCACTAACGCATTTAATTCTGTTGATTTCGATATCCTTCTGGCAATGTTAAAATCTGCTTTTGTTTCCGATAACGTTGTCGAGTGGTTTCGGAGTTATTTAATCGGACAATCCCAATGTGTCCGTGTTGACGACAAACTGTCTGCCTGCTGTCAACTCACAACCGGGGTACCCCAGGGCAGAGTCCTCTCCCCATTTCTTTTCTCCTTCTTTATTAATTTTTTGACCCCTCTCCTCTCTTGTCATTATCATTTATATGCTGACGACCTGCAGATTTATTCACAAGCCTCTATTGATAACTTAGACGGAATGATTGCTAAGCTAAACGCCGACCTTGAGACCGTTCACGAATGGAGTAGTGCCCATGGCTTGACAGTGAATCCTCAGAAGTCTCAGGCGATCATCCTTGGCGGATCGAAGCAGATAGCCAGGCTCAATTCTAGTATTATTCCTCCTCTTCTATTTTCTTGTACCCCTTTGACCCTTTGTGCTAATGTCAAAAACTTGGGTGTAATTTTTGATGCTGTCTTATCGTGGTCGCCTCACATTACTGAAGTCAGCAGAAAGATGTTCGCTGCTGCCGGTTCACTGCGGAGATGGAGGAACTTGCTGCCTGTGGGGACCAAGATCCAACTTGCGCAGTCACTTCTTTTGCCTATTCTGGATTACGCTGATATCTGTACTATTGACCTTAATGAGGATCTGTTAAACAAGCTCGAGCGTCTTCAGAACTTTTGCATTAGATTTATTTATGGATTGCGCAAGTTTGATCATGTGTCCGAATACAGGAATAAATTGAAGTGGCTACCCATCCGACTACGACGTGAAGAGCATGTTCTCACTCTTCTGTACAACGTTCTGTATGATCCTCGCTCTCCTCCCTACCTTAAGGAACGTTTCCGATTTCTAAGTACCGATCACGTGCTCAACCTTAGGTCCAGGACAGACAATTTACTTAGGACTCCATTTACTCGATCTGGATACTTTGGGGATTCGTTCACTGTCAAGGCTGCAATCTTATGGAATAACCTTCCATCAGAAGTCCGTCACTCGGCATCACTTGCAACTTTCAAGAACAAGCACTTGCAACTTTCATGAACATCTTTTATCAAGGTCCTAGTTTGCAACATATAACTTATATGTGTAGTGTATGTGTATATATTATTCTATTAATATTATGTTATGTTTGTATCAGTACCTATAAGCATAGCATATTATTGTTTATGTATATATATATATATATATATATATATATATATATATATATATATGTAGGTGTTATTATTTGTATGTATTTTATATAATATATATAATGTTATTTCTATTTTATTTTGTTTTATATTTTGCTGGCACATTACTCTTCTATCTCTGTTAAACTATCCTTCGACTTAAAGGTTGACTGGAAGAGATCGCTTTCAGCGATAAGACCGCCTTTACCCACCATAGTTGACTATCCGTTTTGTAAACCCTTTAATTGTGTATGTGTGAGTAATAAAGTGTTTATCTATCTATCTATCTATCTAACTCAAAATCCCCGTAGTTTCGGTTCTTTTACAAATTCGAAACCCTAAAAATAATGAAAAAAATAATAGTCGCTCTTTATGCCTACACGTTTAAAAATCAATATAAAAAACTGCCTTTTTATATTATATTTGGACAAATTATTACGTACGTATTACATACGTATCATTATAGCGTCACAAACCCGTTATCAAAGCAGTGAAATGGGCTGCTTTTATTTTTTTTCAAGCGTCTCTCCGCTTATCAATTAAATAATATCTCGTAACAGTATATTCGGCGAAATTTTTGTTGTCTTATCATTGCGATATGGGTTTTCGGAGTTCATGATTATATTAATTAAAATGATAGCTGTTAATGAAATTATATTAAACTGGGGCCTGATAGGGAAGAAATAATTTCTACTGTGGTCCCCTTCAAAGCTAAATTAAGTGTTGACATGATTTAAGCCAATCTTTTTCCTAAATACGAAATGAAAGGGAACTCTAAATATTTCATAATAAGGCTAGGAATATTCAGTGATTTATATCGCAACAAAACTATTTTTTATAATTTGATGTTCACTTTTGTACTACCCGCAATTACAATTCAATTTATTATTTGAGATAATATACTAGTATTCAGCACTTTGTTAACATCATAAAAGTATATATGTTATCATGAGCATAACATGAATGTTTGTTTACCTACTTTATCTTAAATGTATAAATCAACTGATGATTTCATTATAACTTTACACTCCTGTTCTATGTATTCTATGTCGACGTTTTATTTTGAGATTGAAACTCCCGAGTATTATCATGTCTATTTGTTTTATGTACATTATTAAATAGTTTACTCTAGCACATTAATCACATACTTCCAATTATATCTAAGTTTAATAATAATTTACAGGTAAATGCAGATGTTGCAGATTCGAAGATTTCTCTAAATATCAACATTAACATACAATATATTATTTTAAACTTTCATTGTCACTAGCATTATAGTAATTTGTGTTATTAACGGGATTGCTACCACAAACCTTCTTAGTTACATTATGGTGCTTGCAGCAGTGCCGAAATATCGCAGACTCCCTAATAACATAAATAAGAATAATTAAAATAATAATAATAATTTATTGGCACCAAAAAAAATTGTTGTTGTTTTTAGGTTTCACATGCAGATAGCAACATATAAATTGAGAGAGCATATTCGGAAAGGGTTTTTGGGTCGGTTAAAACATGTCTAATATGTTCGATATTGTTGCAGGCGTATATTCGCGAACGCGCACACTTACCACATCAACTCGATCTCCCTCAACTCGGACCAGGAAACGTACCTGTCGGCGGACGACCTGCGCATTAATCTCTGGCACCTGGAGATCACAGACCAGAGCTTCAACATCGTCGACATCAAGCCAGCCAACATGGAGGAACTCACTGAGGTATGTGTCCTACATGTCAAGGTACATTTTAGCTTGCAACACGTCTGAATTCGCTGAGAATAATGCGTAGAATTTGACGACTTGCTTGGCCTGACGGTTACTGATGCTGCCCGCGAATCCACCTTTGGCACCTGGAGATCATTGACCAGAGCTTCAACATCTTCGACATTAAGCCGGTTAACATGGAGGAACTCACTGAGGTATATGTTAAAGTACATTTAAGCTTGCTCCACATGTTTTTCTAAGGTTAATGCGTAAAATTTTACGACTTGCTTGGCCTAACTGTTACTGATCCTGACTGCAAATCCACCTTTGGCAACTGGAGATCACCGACCAGAGCTTCAAAATTGTAGACATTATGCCGGCTAATTGACGAAACTCACTAAGGTATGTGCCTTTAACAATAAGGTACATTTTAGCTTGGCACGATGTCTGAATTCGCTGAGGTTCATTCGTAGACTCTGACTGCCCGTTTTGTTTAACGCTTAGTGATCCTTACCTTAATCCAATTCTGGCACCTGGAAATCACTGACCAAAGCTTCAACATCAAGCTGTGGCAACATCAACATAGAGCAACTTACTGAGGTTTGTGCCCTATATATTATGGTTATTTTTAACATGTCACAAAGTCTGAACTCTACAAGGTTCTTGCGTCTAAAGCTTTATGGGCGTTTCTGTAACGGACGATATTTTATTTTGTACATTTTCCATTAGTAAACAAATTATATACCTACTAAACTACCAGCGTTATCCATTTCCAGTTGTACAGCTCATTGATCTTACTAAACCAGATTTAATATAAAAAGTGCGTAGGTTATTTTTTTGGCACACTTTTGATTAATAATGACTTCATTAAAGAAATACTTTTAATGTAAATAGTATTGTGTATAGATATTTTATACATTGATCAACTTAGTTTACAGTGCTTTTAGTCTGAGAATGATGTGCCATATTTTTGGTATTTCAGATTTAATTCCCAGCCTAGATAACATTTTTTTTTATCGCCGCGGGTTTTGTTTGATTGTGGTGTGCTCATTTCTCATTTCTGTTTCACAACTTGTTGATTTTTTCTAAATTATTTATTTATAATTTCTCTTGCAGGTTATAACTGCGGCGGAGTTCCATCCGACTGAATGTAATCTCTTTGTTTATTCTAGTAGTAAAGGTAAGTTGACAGTGCCTAGTCGTATTTATTTTATTTCTATTTTGTTAACCTTGCAGATTATTTCATTAGCAACTGAACTATCAGCTCTTTAGTTCCATTTTAGTGAACTGGGAATCCTTTGTGACAATTTAATTCCTAGATAACAATATAATACTGTTATGCATATACTTGAATATACAGAAATCATTATAATCTTAAAGAATAGGGTATTTTCCAAAATTTTTAAAAATGCTTATATTTAAAGATTGGGACAATGATTTAACAGAAAAATAAAAATAAGTTAATTAATGTGGTTTTTTTCTCCATTAGACCAACTACAGTTGAATTTATTTTTAATGGTTTTGAATTTACCGCCAAAACGCTCGGTTTTTGGCCAAAACTTTGCAAATTCGCTACTAATCCTGATTTCTGCGCTACAGAGTTTCGAAACATCAAAAATTTTGTGGAACTATTATACTATAAATTTATACATAAAATAAGTTAATAATTTGATTACATAGCATACACAAAGTTGACGTCATACAGTAGACGTAGGGTGTATTCCGTAATATATACCAGTATACTGGCCAGTGGTAATAACGTCACGAATCCGACGCCATATTGTACTGGTATGCTACCATATTTTTACCTGGAAAACGAATATGACGTATGACCGAGATGCATTCGATTTTTTTTTCTTTTTTATTTAAAGAACCATAATGGCATCCGAACAAAAAGATTTCCTTTTAATTGATGAGGTGAATAAAAAAATCTTTATTCGCACTATTTTTAACATTTCGTCGATTTATGACTTCAGTGCACTGGACAGTATATTTCGGAACAATTAACCAGTATAGCGTCGATTCATGACGTCATTAGCACTGGACAGTATACTGGTATATATTACGGAATACATCCGTAATCGAACCGAGCGTTTTGGCCGTAAATTCAAAACCGTTAAAAATAAATTCAACTTTAATTGGTGTCTAATGGAGAAAAGAAAACGCATTATTTAATTTATTTTTCTTTCAAATCATTTGTCCCAATCTTTAAATATAAGCAGTTTAAAAATTTTGGAAAATACCCTATTATTATTTAAGCCTCGTGGACACGGGGCTAGTTAACAGGCCCGCGAGTTTGCTACCAGCTTATAAACTCGCCTCGCGTCGTCGCGTTACTCGATGATACGAGGCTAGTTCACAAGTTGCTAGCGAACCAACTGGCTTGTAGCTTGTAAACTCGCCCCGTGCCATCGAGGCTTTAGTAATTGTTAGTTTATAGGCACATATACGCATTAGCTGCATATATTTAATCCGTATCCTTAGCCAGATCTAACATGTGCCCACATTCGTTACTTTTCGAAGATTGAGAATAAATGTTTTGCAACAATCGATTTCCAATAACCAAGAACACATGAAACTAACCTCTATCTCAACCGCCATAGGTACTATAAGGCTTTGCGACATGCGCGCGGCGGCACTGTGCGATCGCCACGCCAAGTTATTCGAGGAGCCCGAAGATCCTCACGCGAGATCTTTCTTCTCTGAGATCATCTCCTCCATCAGCGATGTGAAGTTGAGCAACTCTGGCAGGTGAGAGTTTTACCCACTTTTCCAATTTGTTGTCACATTGGTTTGGGCGTATGCTAATATTAGTACTCCTATGATTAGTAGGGAATTATGATTACTGTGTCCGTGGCTTTGTATTTACAAAATAAACTGTTAGCTCCCTTTTTTTACGCTTGGAAAATGCACCTGATTCATATCTTGCCATAGGGCTGACGACGAGGTTATGTGGAGCTCTCCTACAGTTGTATGAAGATAGCGACCATAAAATAGCACGCAGAGAACCTACCCCTGTGTGCCATGAACTTTCAGTTCCTTCTGCTAGCGGAGATGAGTCTGCCCTAACTACTTTGATATTTAAGATATAAATGTTTCATTACACCTATTATAAATAACTCTGTTTGTATTTATACTGTGTGACACAGCAATCAAAATGCAGGTGTACAATTAATGTATAATTTCACATTATGTAATGAAGGGTGACTTCATGAATCATCTCTGAAGTCATTTTTCAACTTGACGACTCTGTAAATGATAAAACAGGGAGAAAAAAACAGCCCTTGCTGAGTTTCTTGCCGGTTCTTCTCAGTACAAGGTCTCCCGCCGTAGATTTACGAACCGATGGCGTAGCTTCTCGACATTCATATGTGCTTGTAACAGCCTAAACTGAATAAATGATTTTGATTGATTGATTGATTGAAGTCCCTATTTTATCCTCTTCAAACTATATTTTCGCGAAAAAAACTCCTCTTTACCTACATACCAAAAATCATCTAAATCAGTTCAACAGTTGGACTTCAAAGCGTAGCTGTTCGAGTAATTTTCGTACTTATAATATTAATACTGATTCTCGTCTAAAACACTATTCTGTAGTTTCGAATAGTTTATCCTGAATAGATAGATACATTTATTTAGGTGACGTCTGAAACATGGAACTTTTATATTATCTAGTGAAGTATTTACTTTATTAATAAGCGTCCGCTTCACATGTCAGCAAACATGGCTGCAGTGCACGTACGTAATATGAAGAGACTAAGGCTCATATTACAGAATGACAACTAAGTGTTAGTCTTTAATGTTCATGAAGGTGCGTTTTGTAAAACCATTTTTTTAAGTTTGAGATTTTATCACATAGTTTATGTTGAATTTTCCTCTTTCAGATATATGATGTCGAGGGACTATTTGGGATTAAAAGTATGGGATCTAAGGATGGAAACGAAACCAGTAGAAACATATCCAGTAAGTTTACTATTATAACTATGAATTGGTTTTTTTAAATAGACATTATTTTCCCACCAATTTAATTTCCTTGTGTATCTTAAGTAGTATTTTCTTATAACATAAAATAAATATTTCCCACACACACCATGTATCATAGAAACCTACTATCGATGCGATCATGAGAAACTTATATTTCATAATATGGCCATAATAATACTTTGCCTAATATAGAATTTCCTAATATAACAGAGGTTGTTCTGTTTTAGGTTCACGAGTATTTGCGCTCGAAATTGTGCTCGTTGTATGAGAACGATTGCATTTTCGACAAATTCGAGTGCTGTTGGAGTGGCGACGATCAGCGGCTGATGACTGGCTCATACAACGGATTCTTCAGGTAAACTAAACACTTTATACAATGGTTGGGGTTGTTTTATATAGCATTTTAGGTCAATTTAAATAAAACTAAATACAAAATATTTAACAAAACCGAATGAAATGCATAAATATATGTAGCCTTATATATTTTAAGCCAAACCTAAAATTTAACTCTTAAGCAATATATACATATCTGTATGTTAGGCTATTTTATGATTTTGGCACATGATGACATTAAATGATCATCCAACAAATAGTTTTTGATTATCAAATAATTACAACTGGTATCCTAGCCTTTAGGTTCTGAGGATCATTAAATAATTTTGTCTGTGTTCACAAAGATTAAAAAAAAATGGTTTTGTCCGCCGTAAAGTTTAAATTAGCACCATGTTAAAAGGATGGCAAACCAGCATTTGGCTCGCCTGATGGTAGGCGGCCACGATAGCCTATAGACGCGTTACAAGAACATATCACTTTCTTACCCTGACCCAATCAAGGGCGGATCCAGGGGGGGGGGGATATGGGGGTCATGATCCTCCCCTGGGCTGGGTACAGATGGACAGATTTTATTTAAGTAATTGCAATATTTAATATACCATGACTATATGACCCCCCCCTGGCGCCAAAGCTGGATACGCCCTTTCACCCAATGGGGTCTCCATAGAGAATGCTCTATGGAGCCCTCGAACCTTACTTACCGATAGAAACATAGCACCACCAAAAGGTAGTGTTATTTTACTGTGATCTTCTGTAAGGTGGAGATTATTTCCTCAGACATCCGCCATGCCCTACCTCTCTTAGAACTATGGCGGTGGATAGAGTTTGATATAAGAGTGATTATACACAGACTGTTCGAACGCGGCGCGGGCGGAGCTCGTCGCGGCGAGCTGACTCTGGAGGCGTCGCGTGAGGCCGCCGCCAGGCCGCGCCAACCGCTGCGGGCCAGGAGGGTGGCCGCCACCGCCAAGAGGAAGAAGGTACCGTGCTCATGCTGTCCACAGCTGCGTCACGTGGGCGGCGGTCAGCCTGGTGAGCAGCTGTCCCTGGAGACGCCGAGTGAGGTTGCCTCTAGGCCGCACAAACCGCAGCGGACCAGGAAGGTAGCCGCCACGGCAAGAGTAAGAAGGTACCGTGGTCATGCTGTCCACAGCTGCGTCTCGTGGGCGGCGCTCAGCCCGGTGAGCAGCTGTCCCTGGAGGCGCCGAGTGAGGCTGCCTCTAGCCCGCGTAAACCGCAGCGGACCGGGAAGGTAGCCGCCACGGCAAGAGTAAGAAGGTACCGTGCTCATGCTGTCCACAGCTGCGTCTCGTGGGCGGCGCTCAGCCCGGTGAGCTGTCCCTGGAGACGTTGAGTGAGGCCGCCTCTAGGCCGCGCAAACCGCAGCGGACCAGGATGGTAGCCGCCACGGTAAGAGTAAGAAGGTACCGTGCTCATGCTGTCCACAGCTGCGTCACGTGGGCGGCGCTCAGCCCGGCGAGCTGCCCCTGAAGACGCCGAGTGAGGCCACCTCTTGGCTCAGCCCGACGAGCTGTCTCTTGAAGCGTCGTGTGAGGTCGCCTCTAGGCCGCGCCAATCGCTGCGGGCCAGGAAGGTAGTCGCCACCGCCAAGAGGAAGAAGGTAAATAACATACAAAATATGACGTTTATAAAGAAGGCGGCGTTAGTTAAAATTTACGCCACATTCATAGAGGTTCTTGTCGCACTATACGCAGCGCTGGCCATGGAGAAGTCGCGTGAGGCCGCCGATATCGTTTGTTTTTAGTTACCGCCACAGACATCGATCGAAATAGATACTGCAAGTGTATGTACTTCGCTCGCCAAAAGGGAGACCAAACGTCTTCCTTTTCCGCTATTTTATTTAATTTTATGTCTGTTCTCGATACGGATGCCAATCGCAATAGGGAAGATGCAAATATATTATTTATGAAAATTTTATGATTAAAATGTTAAAAAAATATAAAAGAAAGGCCACTGCAACCTTTTTTATTTTACATAATGTTGTTTTTTAACAATAATTACGAATTAAAAATGAATTGAAAAAACATATTTTAAAACACCATTCAGCATTTAGTGACGTCACTCCTGTTATGACAACTTATTTGAGGTTATGGTTGTAAAAGTGAATATTATTTTATGGGAATATACAAGCAGATTAATTAAGCATATAACAAGTATATTCGCCGACTTACGTCAAAGTGATTTGCACAGCATCGAATTGTCAAGACTAATCTTCGTATTATTCTCCAAAGACTAATAAGTCAGAATAATTGTCATTTCTCTTCGCAGATTAAAACCACTTTTTTTCTCAGTTTTGAGGTCAATTAAATTATTTCAACCAAAAGTCAAAAACAATTTATTTGGAAGTAGATGGACACATTGGTACAAAACATGACTCAACACGGAATTCTTTAAAAGAAAACAAAAATAAAAATATTGCATTTTCCCTATTTTTAAAATTATCTATTGTGTGTAAATTGTAGTTGGCGATGAACACGCTTTCATACAATATGAAGCACATGCGTCGTCTACTTAAATATAGGTCTGTGGTGTTTACCGTACACAAATAATCGATTTATTCCTCTCATCATCTTCCCATTACAATACTCCACTTTTTATTTGACACAAACGCCCGCCTAGAATTTTAAGTTTTGACGGTCCCTAGCCAAAAATTATGTTACATTGAGCAAAAACTAAGTACCTACGCAGTTTAGAAACTGAGTTTTAAACCATCTTGTGTTTTATTAAAATTATTGCTCAGCCATAAACATATATTTTTGCTACAGACCTTTGAAACTTATAACACAAGTGGGCTGATAGATGTGTCCGGAAGTATATAATTACTAATTAACTAGCGGCCGCCCGCAATTCGTACGCGTGGAGTTGTTAGAAATAAAGGTTCACTACTTGTTCCCCGTAGGTGATAGTATGTTAATATGTAGCCTATATGTTGACCCGACTTCTTAATAGCATTCGTGCCAAATTTGAAGTAAATCCATGCAGTACTTTTTGAGTTTATCCCGGACATAAATACAGACAAACAGACAAAAATTCTAAAAACTATATTTTTGGCTTTGGTATCGATTGTCGATCAAACCCCAAGTATTCTTTTAAAAAAATATTAAATGTACAGTTTTGACTTCCCTACCATTTTATTATATGTATAGATGTGATTGCTCTGATTAGGACGAAATCAGTGTGGACTGTCTCGACTTCAACAAGAAGATACTGCACACTGCGTGGCACCCGCATGAGAGCATCATCGCCGTGGCCGCTACCAACAACCTGTTCATATTCCAGGTAAAGATCAATAACAAAATATCGGTCATATAAATAAATATAAAAGAAATATATTTATCTTTTCACGCTGGTGTGCGTACCATTTAGTGAAATACTTTGTGAACGGGTATACCTGCTTTGTTCCGAGAATTGTTAGCCGTAGAAGAAATAAAATTTCTTTTTCCTGAAACTATTTTGAATTAAGAGCTAATTTCAATACATATCTCCTTGGTTATATATATTATTAATATACCACCTATGTGTATGTAGTTCTTAAATATTTTAAATATAATTAAGTTTTCACTCACACCACTCATTATATGAAATAAATTTTAAACAGGTATAAATGCGTTTTTAATACTTTTTTTTCAGTATGATTTTTATTTACTTTTGACAATATTTTTACTACTACTTTTACTTTTAAGTACTGAAGAAGTATTAAAAACGTATTTATACCCATTCTAAACTTCGTATCATTTTATAAAATTATCTGTTACTCTTCTTTTGTTTGCAACAATGGACCTCTCGCGGAAATCTTTTCGTGCTATGAGAGCCTGCGCCGCGCGGTCTCTAATACTATGATTTTTAAACAAGGTTTACCTTTAAAGAATCTCAGGAACAATTACAAGGTGATTTTGGGTAGTTAGGTTTTGCGATAGCAACAGTTACTTATTGGTTTTGTGAATTAAAACATGGTCAAGAGAACCTCAACGATGACCACAGACCAGGCTGACCACCAACTGCAGTAACTCATGAAAATATCATCAGGGTAGAGTGGTTATTGCGGGAGAATAGACACCATGACATCGGTAAATTATGCTTGAGGCTGAACTTAAAATTTGATCACGGGCAGCTTCCGCCATTCTGCATAAATACCTTAAACTTAGGAAGCTTGCTTCGCGTTGGATACCTCATTCTCTCACAATAGTGATAGAGATAAAATAGTGAGAAAGAATCTCGTCGTGTTGATTGGTGCAATTTTATACTGAGAAATCCTCCTATTCCATCCATAGATAAAAGCACGCAAGACCTGTGCGCCAGCAGTAGAGTCATTAATAGGCTGATGATGATATACTGGAAAAGTTCAAAGGATGCACGCAAAATGTATCCTTCCTACTTAGAACTGACAAATTTAATCCTTACTAGAACAAGTGTCCCTTATTTTAAGATTATCTAACTTGATGACGGGGTAAATTAAAAGAAATTCTATATTCATAGCCATAATCTCTATTGTCAGTATTAGCTAAGTTTGTATGTTTAGTTACACCGTTTGTTTCCAGGACAAGTTCTAGCGCGCGTAGCAGCGCGTAGCCCCCGTGCCGTAGCCCCGTAGCTGCGGCCGCCACGTAGCACACCGCCACCGCCGCCTCGTAGCGCAGCCAACGTTCCAAACTCGAGTGGCGTACGTAAATTCTCTTTTTATCAATTGCAGTTGCGTTTCGTTTCAACCAACAACGCCAGAAACTTCAGAACGAACTAACGGAGACGTCGAAATTATAAGCTCAACAAACGACAGTCGCAAAATGTGATTCACCTAGAAAGCTCAACACTGTCGTCGATAGAATATAATATCCCCGATTGTTAGAACTTAATATGTACCTACCAGTTTTCTACGTAGTTTGAACAAAATCAGATACACAATGCTAGATTGCAATGGATAAGGCGACAACCTTTATACCGAGCGTATAAGGTTCAGTATTATTCAGGCGAAACGAAGTGCATATTTGTAGCGTTTGAACGCGATTTGAAGTAAGCCCTAACTTAGGCGGTAACTATGAATTTGGCATCGACAGCTGTTGGTAGAATTACTAGGTTTTGATTGAGTAAGAAATATCGAATTTAAATATTACATGGTAAAGTTGTTGCTAAATTATCAAGGAAATCAAAGAGATAACATGGCTGAATAGATTTTTTGTGCCTATTTGAAAAATGGTAAAGCATTCCAAATTTGAATGGTTACTATCGTTTCCTTTAATATTACAAAAGAGGTTATACGCTAGTTAGGAAAGTTAATACTAGTCCTTTTTTTATTTTTAAAGTAAAGCTACATCACATTGTGGTTTAATTACATTCTACTGACAGCTGCGCGTGCTGCGTTGTTGTAATATGCTGCGTGACACTGTACGGGATCGGATCGTATATATATAACAATTTGAAAAAGTTAAGACTTCAACACTAGCCCTAGTTCTCACCCTAAAGAGATTTATATATATATATTTTTACATACTAAAGAATATATTAAATCAATCAAAAAAAATCTGCAAGAGATTAATCTGTGAACATTGCCATGCGGAATGCATGCATGCATAACAAAGCTGCATATTTCAAAGAACTTGAAAGAACTTAATGTCAGTGACAAAAAAATATTATAAAATATTTGGATATTATTACAAACTAATGATTTAAATTTGCCCAAAATATGTGACAACTAGAACAACCGCGATTGGACTAATCGATATCTAAACAATTTACCACAAAACTTTTTGTACGATTACTTTCCATAAGAAAACTACTATTCTAATCAGAATAATGGTTTCTTACATATAAGTAAAAATATTAAATATTGCTCTCAATTGGCTTATGGACTGGCTAGTCCCGAAGATTCTGCTTTCCTGGGTGTTGATTGACACACACTTTGCGTAGAAACACAAAATTTTCTATCTACAAATTGAGTTTCTATCTCTCTGTTTCTTTCTATCTCAGTACAAGGTCTCCCGCCGTAGATTTACGAACCGATGGCGTAGCTTCTAGACATTCATGAGTGCTTGTAACAGCCTAAACTGAATAAATGATTTTGATTATGATTATAGTCTGTCATAAATACATAAAAATAATATAAATAACATCAACATAACCGTACAGTCTTAACTAATACATTGTCTTAGCCTACCCAGAAATTGTTGAAGTCGTCGACACGTATTAGTCACCAAATAAATGTTTATTTATACGTGAAGTCAGTCCCGTACAGTGTTAAGCAGACTTGCTAGTTAGATTATAAGCCCATTCTTTCTAATCTGACATAATTTATACGCTTTTCACATTTAAGGTACTAAGCGATAATTAAGTATTTATTGTTTAAAGGTGAAAAAAAAATGAGGTGACGACCCATAATCATGTGAAATGAGATTAGTTAGGAATATCAAATGTCATTAGTATTGAGAATATCGTTTGGTTTTACGTTTAAAATGCGTGATACTAAATAACAGGTATATTTCTAAATACAGTTCATTTGCAAAATGTCAAGGTTAGTAACAAGGCTAATCCATCACTAGCTGATAAATTATGTCTATTATAAAAGATGTATCTATGATAATAATACTTTACTAGATAAAAATTGTCCGTTAAAGTCACAAAGTAAAATGTGATAATTTACTTATATAAATGTCTTTTCCCAATCAGGTGACTGATATAAATAATTGTGCGTGCTTTTTGTGGTACTGGATTTTTTGATATCTAGAAGATTAAATGTGATAAACTATCCTACTGGTAAATATATCATAGTATTTGGTTTTTACCGTTATTCGTTACATTTGTCAGCAAGTGGTGAACTGGCCGTCAAAACTTATCATTTAATGCTAATGTTCGTCGTTTTTTTATTCATAAAATTCTTTCACGTTAATCATGCATTTTAAATGTAAAACGTGTTGTTATAGTTATTGTACTACCATTTTTCTACCAGGAAATCATGCTTACATCGTGTGCATGTGCATCAATTTGATTTTCAAGTAAATATTCTATTCTGTAGAAAGCTTTTGAATTACCACCGCAGATACGAGTATTTTCGTATAGTGAGTGAGAGTTTGTGATATTGTATATTTTGATAATGTAGCAATAATCTTTTTGTGATTTACAATGAAAATACATATATATATATATATATATATGCCTTTCTGTTAAGCAATCATTGATTAGTTATTTAATCAAGTTAAATCCTATTTTAAAATTTTGCGCAAGTCAAATGTTCCTATCATTCCAATTGATCAATCTTGCCTTTAATTTCATTTTCATATAAGTTAATTGTGAGCGTCAAAACACTGCACGAACAGATTTTTATGAGCTGACTTCGCAACACATCATTAGGCACATTTTAATTACAATGTCTGAACTCTTGTATCATATACGAGTTATGAAAGTATTTGATAGCTGCGTCCTATCCCTTTCTCCCCATATGTTTCAGAGTATTTTCATACATCTTCCTTGTCAAATATATTAAAGGACAAAAAGCACGACAAAACTAGTAGTGTCAAAAGTGATTTTGAGACTCCAGTTTCTTATGATACCGTGCACACTTTATAATATAACAAATAACTTTTTAAAATAAATAAATAACTGAAAAGTTTTTAAAAAACAAACAGAAGGCTGGATTGTGGAACATTTGTAAATAGTGTTCATTGTCACCCATTGGGTACACAACCCTAATAAAGTTTGAACGTCGTTACCCTACAACATTAAGTGGATTACTCACTATGCAGTCAAGATTATCATGCTTTAGCTTTTATTGCAACGTCATTAAGCATGTATTATGATAATTACATCATTCATTGGGTATAAATTTGTTTGGGTAATACTGAACATCAACCATTTTGGTAAAGAAAGATATTTACGAATAGTTTGAAATACTTTATATTTATAAAAGGAACTACAAAGAATACCGAAACATTTTTAAAACAATCTAGAATCGACCAGATGTTTTTCTTGGTGCCATAGATCTCGCAGTACAGTTTCAGTGCTTACAATTTACTTATAAAGGAAAATGTTTGTAAAAAAATATTTGTGTAATAAAAATAAAAAACTCTTTTAATGTTCCGTACCCTTCGTAAAAACGGAACCCTATTGCTGTCACTCTGTCTTTTGTTTGTCCGTATGCCACAGGTCTCTAGATCGTAAACGGAATGAGTAACAGAACTGCAGTTTTGATTGGAAAACAAATACTGGTAATGCCGATTCATAAATCAACTTTGTAAGATGGTTTCGTCCCAAGAAACAAATAATTTTACCTTTCGTGGTTTGTTGTGATCTCCCGTACAACGTACATAATATTGTATAGATAATGGTACAGAACCGTTCGTGCACACGTCTTTATGTTGTCGACATAATGGTTCGTGTAATTTTATAATTATGCTAAGAGCAAGAAGAGACTTCACGCAAAACACAATTTTTATCAATTTCTTTACTGACATTACACCTTTTCCAAATATTGTATCCTAAATATTATTATGTTACTCATCGCACAACAGAAGTTTGTAAGAGATTTTATATACCCAGTTTGCGCGCTAAGTCCTCAAAATAATACACAAACATACGTATACAATACACACACAAAACTCCTCACAATACGTAACCGTAACAAACGAAAAAAGTAATAATATTCTCGGCCCGTGCCTTAACTGTATGTAGTGATTTGTTAAACTTAATTTATTTTCTAACATTATCTTATTAAGTATTCGTGAACAATTATTGTTTATTATTATTATATATTTTTGGTTAATATGCACCGTATCGGTAGTGAAAGCAGTGGCGTTCGTAATCTTACCTTATGATAATAAAATTTAACACAGTCAAGTAGAGAATTGTATTGAAAACAATAAAAAAGCTTGAAATTTTAATAAAGAAATTCATACTGTATTTGTGGCATACCGTTTCGATATGTGATTATTATCAAAGTCGTTGTAATACAAAATGAGGCAAAGGAGCATTGTAACAATTTTGGGCATGTTATACTTACGAGATGAATTCTATGTGATTATTAATTTTTAATTCGCTTAAATGTTAAGGATTCTTGAGGCAGCCTTAAGGGGTCCGCGTATGACCCGATTGTTAGCGTTCACATCGCTAGTTTTGTACTGTATCTGTTGAGAAACTAAAAGCCAGTAATGTTTTTTGGATTCCGTTGATGGGAATTTCGTCTGCGGACCGCTGTATGCTGTCTAAAACCAGTATCAAAAGTAAAGTAAAAAATAATAATAATGTAAATATATTAGCAAACGAATGGAGGCCTGATCAATATAATAAATATAGAATATTTTGTCACAACATTTAAAATGTACAGAATTATATTGTATGTATGTATATATGTACACATATATGTATATTTAAATATGTACATGTGTGTGTATGTATTATATTTGTATTTTGGATTGTGTAATGTAAAGCTTGCTATTAACTTGAAAAATTATGTTCAACGTTTTATGTATAGGCGAATGAATTGGTTTTGTTTATTATAATTACTTATTTTTTTTATTGTATCGTGTTTTTTGTTGGCTGTATGTTGGAGCCAAAATCTCCGATGTTTTATTAAGTGTACAATATTAATAATTACATTGCGGTGTCGCCTCGCGAGCCTTAAACTAAGGTGTATTGTTTGACTGGATTTCAGGCACTTCCATAGCTTTTGTTGATGTAATTATCAAACCGTAATTTTTCGATGTTGATTCATTTTGTATAGGATGTGTTAAGTTTTAGTTTTTTTTAAATATTAAAAAAGGGGCCCGTCAATTCCTCCGTGCATAAGTGACTGATTCCGTATCGCCATTGAAAGCTGAGAGTTTAAATATAAGTAATAAAAATAAGTGTGATAAATAATACTATTGCCTTTGCAGCTACAATTATGAATTATGCTTGTTGAGCTGTTATATTGGAACACTGGAATTGACACGTCCCCCCGAGATATCATTGTAAAAATATATTATAGTAGTGTAAAAGCAAAGACAGCGTGTATAGTGAATGTGTGAGTGCGAGCGAGACAGGCGATGCGTGCGCGTCTTAATTTAAGTCTAGTTTATAGTTAGGCAAAAACTGTGAACGCGAATGTCGTGCAGGAACATCAGTTTTTTTTTCTTTACGTGGGATCAACAGAGGTTTGCTTGTTATATGTGATATGTCGCAATAAGCGGTGTGTTAGTGTTATGGACAAAATTTGTATGCGAGAGTAGGCCTTTTCGGTATGGTGACGATCGGAGCGACCTCTACATAGTTGGTTGTTGACAACGAAGCAAAAGCGAGCGGCGCGCGCGCCTTTTTCTAGATGTTTGGGTGAAAAGATTATACTAGATTCACTTTCATACTCCTTTGTCAATAAGAAAATTTAATACGGGCAGTTGACAATGAATAAACTCATTTTGAAATCAAAAAGAGATTTTTTCTCATTTGGTGTCCGGTATAATCTCTGTGCCCCGTAAAAATTACCTCCATTTAAAAATGGGCTCAAAATGTCTGCTGTGTTTTTTTTTTGGTATAATTGTTGACATGTGACACAAATACGCATTCTGTTGTGTGTTGGCTTTTTTTTGTTAGATTTACAATCAATCATGTTTTATGTAACTATGACATATTTGCTTTAGAGTATGTTGTTAAATGATTTGATGTAATTAATTTTGATAAGTTTCTATTCACGATCGGAGCCTGCATTATGCTAAATAAAAAGAAGGAGATTGGTACTTCGAAAATTATTGTGCTTTTCAATAGGTATAATAGGCTTGTGTCCACTAACAATAAATCAGAAGGGTTACAGTTTCATTTTATATATACAGATAACAAAAAATAAATAAAAAATAGGCATTAGGTCATTAATTAGAAAGACTGACGTCACGACGTGCAAAACATTACTTGTGGTTGACGTTTTCATAGATTTGATTGATTTGTCATTCATGTGATTGTTACCCTTTTTCAGTTTGTTCTTGATAATTTTTGAAAGGAAGCCTAATATAGCCATGGAATCGGGATTTGCCAAAGCAAATAATAATAATTCACCCAGAATAAAAATAAAAACATATGATACTCGTTATAATAAAGCACATCATTTGGCAACT